TCCCCTGCTTCAGCGTCTAGCTGAATATGAGCACGCTCATATTCTCAGCTCGCCCTGCCTAAACAAACACGGGCCCCAGCGGACGCAGCCTGGCCGAGCGACCGTGCGAGAAGCCTCTCACTCATGCTCTCAGGCCCGCGCAGTACGTCCTGCTATCCCAATCGCAGGCCCGCTTTTTGGGGATTATGCACGCGAGCAAGCGCCGTGCTCAACAGCATCCCTCCCGGGCCTAGGGCGCCAAACATGCTCAATCATAAACATGCTTAAATCTAATAAGTCTAACGGCATTTTCCTCATGGGTCTCTCCAAGGTGAAATGGAGCTTTCGCGAAAGTTCACTGTGGTAGACCCGGCTGCTGTTTGCCCAGATCTACAGGCTGCTCTTCCTCGGCTCATCAGACCAGCAACGCCCACATCCAGCCAACCAATAACCACCAGGACAGCAAGTTAAAAGCCGGAGACTCCCACTTCCCGGCCTTCTGAAGTCTGCAAGCCTCCGCCGCCCCACCTCCTCCTTTTCTCACCAAAGCGTGCTTGCCTACTGCCTCTGCCGCCACCAGTGCCTAGGCCCCGGGGGGGGATTATGCACGCGAGCAAGCGCCGTGCTGAACAGCATCCCTCCCGGGCCTAGGGCGCCAAACATGCTCAATCAATAAACATGCTTAAATCTAAAAAGTCTAACGGCATTTTCCTCATGGGTCTCTCCAAGGTGAATTAACAGTAGACTAAGAACTACACTGGATCAGGTTGCTCCATTAAAAATTATAACCATTCAACAAAAATCTTTAGCCCCTTGGAAAAATGAGGAAGCAAGGAGTATGAAAAGAGAGTGCAGGGTGGCAGAGCGAAGGTGGAGGAAAAATAAAACGACAATCAATCACAAAATGTATAAAAACCAACAGCAAATTTACAACAACACAATCAGGAAAAACAGGAACAATTACTTTGCAAAACTAATCAGCCAGAACAAAAATAATCCAAAAATCTTCTTTTCAACCATCGACACCATTTTAAACCCTGATTTTAGCATGTCTCTTTTAACCCCCACAGACTCCCTCTATGAGGATTTTGCAGTCCACTTCACGGGGAAGATAAATACAATCAGATGTAACATTTTATCCAACCGCACAACTGTTTTTAACACATCTGATTGTTTGTCTTTACCAGAGGAAACACTGGACAGTTTTGTCCTGGTTGATGCTGAGATGCTTGAAAAAGTTTTCTCCTCAGTGAGGCCCACCACATGTCTTTTAGATCCAGTCCCCACTCCATTTTTTAAGTCATTTTATGAATCTTTTAGAGAGGAGCTTTTAAACCTGATGAACTGCTCTCAACAGACTGGGGTCTTTCCTGCAGCCTTCAAAGCGGCTGTGGTTAGACCCCAAGAGCAATTTGTATTTTAATGATTTTAACAACTTCAGACCGGTATACAACTTACCATTTTTAAGCAACATTTTAGAAAAACTTGTTTTTACCCAGCTCAATGCCTTTTAAGATCAGCAGCAAATTTTAGAGAAATTTCAATCAGGTTTTAGGGTGAACCACAGCACAGAGACTGCTCTTTTGAAGATTTTAAATGATTTTAGACTAAATATAATTCTAAAAAGGTGACCGTGTTGGTTCTACTGGATCTTAGCGCTGCCTTCGACACAGTAGACCACACCATTCTTTTATCACGCCTACAACACCTCGGCCTCTCTGGTGCTGTCCAAAAATGGTTCACTTCTTATTTAACAGACAAATCCTTCATGGTAAGTTTGGATACCTGCTCCTCTCAGGTCCATAAAATCACATGTGGTGTGCCCCAGGGTTCCATTTTAGGTCCAGTCCTTTTTAACCTGTACATGCTCCCTCTTGGCGGTGTCGTCAGGAGACATGGAATTAACTTCCACAGTTATGCAGATGATACACAGCTGTACATCTCCATGTCTCCTGATGACACCAGGCCAATGGATGCTCTTTTCAACTGCTTTTTAGACCTAAAATCCTGGATGGCAGAAAACTTTCTCCAGCTTAACCAGGACAAAACTGAGGTTTTAGTCATCGGTCCTGAGGCCCAGAGAGAGAAACTTTTATCAAAACTCCAATCACACTCTTTTAATCCATCATCACAAGTGAGAAACCTGGGCGTAATCTTTGACTCTGAGCTGACTTTTATTCCTCACATCAAGAACATCACAAAAATAGGTTTCTATCATCTAAAGAACATCGCCAGAGTCCGCCCCATTCTCTCTCGGGCCAACACAGAGACGCTGATGCATGCTTTTATCACCAGTCGCATTGACTATTGTAATGCCCTGCTCTCTGGTCTTCCCAAAAAGAACATTTCAGGTTTACAATTACTTCAAAACTCGGCAGCAGGTGTCCTGACTAAGACCAGGGGGCGGGACCACATTAAACCGGTTTTAAAATCGCTGCATTGGCTCCCCGTGTGTTTCAGGATCAATTTTAAGGTTCTTTTAATGGTTTTTAAATGTCTTAATGGTCTTGGGCCTTCATATCTTTCAGAGCTGCTTTTATCCTATGAACCTTCCCGGCCCCTGCGCTCCTCCGGCAGCAGACTCCTAACCATCCCCAAAGTCAGGACACACACTCACGGCGAGGCATCTTTCCAGCACTACGGCCCCCGTCTCTGGAACAGTCTGCCGGAGGAGCTCAGGGCCGCAGAGAACGTTCATATTTTTAAGAGTAGGCTCAAGACGCACCTATTTAGAGTAGCTTTTGATTAGTATTTATTATTGATTATTACTTTCTAATACATCTATTTATGTTTTTAGACACATTCTATTTTTATTTATTTTTTATTATTTATTGTATCTACCCATTTACTATTGTTATTATCAATATTAGGCAGTTGCCATTTTTCTTTTTAGTGTCTCATTTTATTGTTCTACGTTCTATTGTATTATTGTATCGGTTTAGTATCCCCAGTGTTTCCTCTGGAGGAGCCCTCTGCACTGGGAGCTGGGGTCTGCTGTGGCTTCGGGGGTCTGGCTCTTGGATCCGGTGGGGGTCTGGGGCCTCCTCTCTCCTCTGGGTCCTATGGGGTCTGAGTCCTGGGCCTGGTAGGGTCTGGGGCCCCTCTCTCCTCTGGGTCTTGTGTCGTTCCCTGTGGCTGCAGCCGGCTCTCTGCTCCTGGTGCAGATGGCTCCTTGGATGGCGCTTCTTCAGCCGGTTACATCTGCTCCCAGCCCCATTTCTTTTTATTGTTTTACCTATTGTACCTGATGTGACTTTATACTTGTGTGTGTGTGTGTGTGTGTGTGTGTGTGTGTGTGTGTGTGTGTGTGTGTGTGTGTGTGTGTGTGTGTGTGTGTGTGTGTGTGTGTGTGTGTTTGTGTGTGTGTATACGTGTATATGTGGTTGTATATATAATTATAAATGTGGTTTTGGGGGGGTCTGAGGGGAGGACGGTTTAGGGCTGGGCATGTTGGATTGTTTTTAACTAAACTGTAAAGCACTTTGTGTTACATTTTTTGTATGAAAAGCGCTTTATAAATAAAATTTGATTGATTGATTGAGTAATTTATTTTTAGTCAGTCAAATTGTCAGTTACAGAATACGTTTCAACAGAAGAAGCATTGACATTAATTCACTGACTGAAAGGGTTATGGCTGAGGTTAAACACAAACCCAGTCTGCGTAGGTTTCCTCCAGGTGCTCCGGTTTGCTCTACCACTAAAAAACATGTACAATAGGTCTGTGCCTCCTGTACTGACTCCGATCCCATCTCTGTGTGGAGTGACAGACTGATGCCCACAACTGTAAACCGCTTTTTGTGACTCTGGTCTGTGAAAGGCGCTATATAAATAAATATTGCTTACTTACTTACCAACATAGACAACAACTCTGTCACGACCCCTGAGATGACTGCTGTTGTGATGATCGGGAAATACAAAAATAGATGGAATTGAAGGCTCAAGGTTGAAATAAATGTATGGTACATAATTATATCCTGAACATACTATATTTTGTTTCGCACTCTGTCTTTTGCACAAATCTGAGTGATCCTATCTAAATGTGACATGTGGGATCAATAAACTCTATCTTATCTTAATCACATATGAGCAAAGGAGGTTTAGAGAAACAGTCCGGACCGATCTCAAAATATATGACTTTCCTGTAATAGTTTTTCTTGATGTGTGTCGTCCGTAAGTGTCATTTTTATGTATTTGTGTCTGTCCGATGTGTTTATGTGTAACTTTGCTGCCTCTTGGTCTCGACTCTCCTGAAAAAAAGGTTCTTTATCTCAAGGGTTTTTTTCCTGGTTATATAAAGGTAAAAATATATATATACGAATCATCAATGGAACATTTTAAATACATATATTGTCAGTTATAGGATGTTACATTACTGACTGACTCACTATACTTATAAGATAATATATAGTTTAACATATACTTGGCAATGTCCGGTCCTATTGGATAACGGACATACGAACTATTTAAATTTTCTATTTAAATTTTCTAGAAAAAAATATATATATTAAAAAAAAAATTTAAGCGGAAGGATCTTTTAAAATCTTGAAAATTTACTAATTTACTTAATATTGTGACACATTATAATATTGGATAATCCAAACCTGCTAAACTTCACTCATTGAAAGATGGGTCAAACACAGAGGACACATTAAGTTGTTTTTGCTTCTTCCATTTCTCATCATACTTTTACTGCCACACCATGATTTACTGAATGTCTCGCCTGACTCTTTGGAACCATTTCATATATTGCTTTGTCTAATTAAGCGAGATCACAGGTATCTCCATCTATAAACTTTACTCAAATGAAGTGACACAGACATTTTAATATCCATAGTTCTAACCATGAAGCAAAGATATTTCTCTGCTTCTAAACTTGTCTTTTTGAGGTTTTCACTTCCCCAATCTGTGGTCACTCGTAAAAGAGCAGAGCCAACAAGAAAAAGACAAAACTAACATTAAAAAAACACATTTATTCTCAAGTATTCACATTCACATTTGCAGGTCAATCACAGAATGTTCCTTCAACTACTCCCTCCGTCCTCTTTCTTTTTCCAAAATCCATCGAAAGAGAAGTAATAAAGCAGCGGGTCGAAGCAGCAGTTGATACTTGCCAGACACAGCAGCGGCGTGATGGCTCTGCTGAAGTTTTCAAACAGAATAACCAACGAAACCGGCAAGAAAAATATGGTAAACATTGTCAGGTTCATCAGAAATATTAACATAACATTGACTTTGTTTTCCACTTTGGCGGAGACGCTGCCATGTCTCCTCAGAGTGATCAACACCATCAGCGTAGACACGACATTGACCATCAGCAAGATCAGAACCAGAACCGGCTGCAAGTAGCGAATTGGCGACCGCACTAACGGGTTCTCTCCGTGATTGTCGAAACACAAAGACTCATTCGTGCTTCTCAAATCATCCAGAAGTTTCACACTTTCCGGTATGTTGATCAGAATCACAATCAACCAGACCACGACCGCAGCTTTCCAGGCATTTCGTCCGTTTCTGATGTGACGCGACCTCAACGGGTAAACCACGGCCAAGAGTCGGTCCACGCTGATGAAGGTGATGAAAACCGAACTGGAGCGAATGTTGTTGCGAAATAACATAATGATGAAGTTGCAAGCCATGTGTCCCAGCGGCCAAGTCCCGGTGGCAAAGAAGTAGATCCTCCACGGCAATGAGATGGCGAGGACCAGGTCTGAGATGGCGAGATTGATCATGAAAACGGCGCTGGGAGATTTGTGGCTGTGGCGATGGAGCAGAATCCATAATGCGATGGCGTTGAGAGGGAAGCCCACCACAAGTACGGCGGCGAAAGTAGAAGCGTAGACGGTGTTTTTGGAGGTGGTGTTGTACATTCTCACACATCGTTTGGAGAAGCAGGGGCAGAGGTGGTTTACTGGAGCCGAGGGTGCGACCACAAAACTCCGCCCACTTCTTATCTGACACCAACCAAAGAGACAGGAAGGAAAGTTTTGAAAGCACAGAAAGAGGAATTTACACGTCTTGCTCGACACGCAACAAACAAATGTGAAATGTTTAAATAGTGATGATTACAAAACATTAAATAATGGAGAATTGGAAGACATCTCTGCTGCTGTGGACGTATTACTACTATTGTTAGCTACTTTTAGAATTATGCATTAATTTGTCCTGTTTCAATTCAATTCAAAACACTTTATTTATGCCCAACAGGCAATTAAAAAGCACTGAGAGTAGCAAGGAAAATTTATTTATAAAGCACCTTTCATACAGAAGCAACTGAGGGTGTTTAAAATGCACAGAAAGAACATGGCAATCACTAGAACACGGGAATTAAAAAAAAGAAAAGACAAAAATATACAAATATACAAATATATATACATACATATATTCGTATTATGTTTTTAGATGTAAGGGAAACCAGAGCACCTGGAGGAAACCTACACAGACAGAAAGGCCTGAAGGTGGAATCCGTGGTGAGTCTATACAGGGAACACTCTGAAAACAGATGAAAATATCCAAGGCAGACAGCCCTAGGGTTTTTCCTGTACTTTCTCAGTTCAGTCTCAGTTCTTTTTATGTGTGGCCAAATGTAGCATTGAACGTTTGGCCTTGATCTCAGAGAAACATCACAGAAACAGGAAAAAGAACGTAATTATCAGACCTTTTCAACAGCGGTGAACAGTGAGTAGTGTGTTAAAGTGGGTTATGTATTGATCTCTTTCAGTGCAGCCATTGTCAGCTTTGCAAATGCGACGGAAGGAAGGTCACTCACTGCTTCGTCTTCATGTAGCACAAACTATTTACTACGAACGCGCGCAACTTATACAGTATTACAATTTGACTGAATTATGTACAGTATGTATTAGGAGGTTAAAGGACACACATGCTTTTCTAGATCTGTCAGAAAAACTCTGGTTGAATTGGGGGTACATTGGAAAGAGTATTGTAAAGGTAGTAACTAAGTAAGTAAGTAATGTTTATTTATATAGCGCCTTTCACAGATGTGGGCATTTATCTCTCACTCCACACAGACATGGGCCAGCACAGGAGGCACACACCCAGAGGAAACCTACACAGACACGGGGAGAACGTGCAAACTCCACTCAGACAGACCCCATTCACGACCGGGATTCGAACCCAGGACCTTCTTACTGAGCAGCGAGAGTGCTAACCACTCAGAGTCCAGCGTGTGGTCCATACACAGTAAACACGTCTGTGCTTTTCTGTGTTAGCTTCATGTGACTTGGAGAACATGTGTTGTTGGTGTAAATATGTGATGAGGAAGACGAAGAATGGGGATTGACTTTGTTCTCGTGGATCTGCCTCGTATCCGCGAGTCTGCAATCCACGACAAAACTCACAGATGTTTTTTGTGAGTGACGGTAACAACACCAAAGACAGTTACCTTGGAACGGGACCTACTCAAAAGCTGATCTGGAAACATGTGCTATTCCATCCATCCATCCATTTTCTTCCCCGTAATCCATTTCTGGGTCAGGGGATGACAGTCAGAGTTGCACCCAATTTACAACATGTGAATCAAAACATGTGTTATTTCCAACATAAAAGACGCTAACAGGAGCCTCTGTCTGTGAGTATAATGAGACTGACTCTGTGTGTGTCACTGTGAAGTAAATAGTTAGGTCTGATTCTGGATTGAGGACATAGGGCTCTAAGACGGATCATTGTTGGACAAAGTTTACGCTCAGGTGTGAAATGACTGTAACAGAGAAAGCTACAGATAGTTTTGTTTACCTCGAAGCGTGATGCTACGTCACCGTGAGGGCGGGGGGTTGCGGGTGAGGGTGAGGGGAGGCGGGTGAGGGCGGGGGACAAGTTATGCAAGTTTTGAGTGTTGTGCATCATTCACATTATTCTCACACTTGTGCTGTGGATGGACTGTGAAACATTAGGAAAAGTTCAATATAGCACCTTTAAATATCGAGTGTCAGCCCTGTCCTTAGACCCTTCTGCATCGGCAAAAAATAACTCAGAGAGAGAAAAGTGAGAAACCTGGGCCCACAGAGGCTCTCTCCGTCTGTAGGTCAAGCTTCACTCATACCGATAATGATGCAGCCGCTGTTGAGTTAAAATATGTTGAAATGTTTGGTGCAACTGTTCAATGGAAATGCAGCGAGTGAATCAGATTTCTCTTGAGGCAGATTTTCAGGAAGACGCAGAATGTGTAAAGACTTCTAACCACAGCTGAGATCACCCAAAGTCAGAACCACGGCAGGAAAAGAGAGGAAGTAGATGTCAAATTCAGTTGGAATATTTTTTAGAGAATTGTTATGTTACATTAGGGTTGTGGTAATGTGGACTTCAGGGTTATGACGAAAGAACCAAATACATCGGGACTGGACATCGGCAAAGGACAGAACAAACACTTCAACATCTGGGATTTTTCCAAAGATCAGTGGGAAATGGGACATGGTGAGAGAGCACTGTACGCAAATAAGTACCTCTCACTACCTATTCTCTTCATAGACGGCAAGAAGGTTCTGGGTTCAAATCCCGGTCGGAACAGGGCCCTTCTGAGTGGAGTTTGTATGTTCGCCCGGGTCTGCATAGGTTTCCTCTGGGTGCTCCGGTTTCCCCTACCACTAAAAACATGCACAATTGGTCAAATCCTCCAGCTCTGGTCCTGGTTGCCGGGCGCTGTTTCTATGGCAAACACTGCTCCTGACGGAAGCCCGAGTGGCATGTGGGTCAAATGCAGAGGATGGATTTCCCTACGGATCAATAAAGTGCACCTCACACTTAACCCAGGGGTCTCCAACCAGTGGCTCGGGAGCTACAGTAACTCAACACCCTCTTTCAGGTAGCTCCCCAGAATGATTACACATGATCCCGAATGAATCACTTTTGAGATATTACATTTCTGTTATGACTATTAATCTTTTCATCAATGCAGGGACACTGTCCACTGCAGAGAATGAGTCTGGTGTGAACTAGGGATGTACCGATCCAGAATTTTTGTAATCCAATCCGATTCCGATATTCTTAAATATTGTTTTGCCGATACCGATCCGATACCATTTTTTCTAATATTTTCAAAGCATTAAAGAATTTGCAATTTTACCTGAATAAATAAGTTTGTCGTGTCTGCTAACACACGTTAGCAGCCTTGTTTACAGTCACAGGGAATGAGGCTCAAGGAATATGTTCACAAGCAGTCTCCCCCATAGTTAGTCCTGGTGAAATCCTGGTTTAGTCCTGGTTTATCTCCTGTTTTGTGTCCCCATGGCGGCTCTGTGCGGCCGCTCTCTGATAGCTCTCTGATAGCCGCACGGAGGAAAAAGTTCATCTCTTGCTTTCGCCGCATGCATCGGGTCTCTGTGTCCACTGCCTCGCCACACCGCACATGCTATGCCTCGCACGGATGTGCATAACCATTGACACAGCATTGAAAAACAATCTTTAGATCCATGTACGCTACGCATTGTGAAAGTTTTGCGGTTCACGCTTGGCTGTGATAGGTCGAAAAGCCTATGCCTACATCCCCCAGAATGCCGCGCACCTCTGACTCGGCTTTACTTCCTGTGTTTTCGTCCTGTTTTTTCTTACGGATTGATGTTAAACTAACATTCTATCGACCCCGTTTTCTGTTGATATCGAACACGTGTCTATCACAATATATCTCGTTGTCTTTTTATCGCCCAGCCCTAGTTTTACATTGTATTTAGTTTACGGCAGCCGTAAAGCGTGAGCATGCTGAAAAGTGACGTAAATCGGCTTCATATTTACCAAATCCGATATTATCCGATCCTTACAAAATACCCATATCGACCCCCGATACCGATACTGAATATCGGATCGGTACATCCCTAGTGTGAACGATTGTTGGTCAGAGGGGCCGATGGCACAGACTGGTTGCCTTGTTTTTGACACTGTGCCCCATGGCAGCTATGGCTACAGTTATAGTTTACCACAACTTCAGCACAATGTATGGAGTGAAAAAATAATGTGAAGCGTCTTTGAGTATCAAAAAAGTTTAATATACTGTATAACCAATGCCTTATTATTATTATTATTATGGTATATTATGCATGTGTGTTGTCCATGATTATCTGAAGTTATTATATAGAATACAATTGTATTACAAATGGTAAAGGGAGTAGCTCTTTGCCAATTCTATTTTCAGAAAAGTAGCTCTCCAATCAAAAATCTTGGACCCCTGTCTTAAAGGCACACCGTGTAACTCTTGGCCACTAGGGGCGCTAGACCTGCAACTTTCACGTTTAGCGCCCCTAGTGGCCACAAGCAACTCAGCACTGTCGCAAAAGTCAACAGTCAGCCGGTGTCTTTTGAGTGTGTATTCAGACAGCATGCACTGGTGTGTGTGTTCAAACTGTAGAGACATGCCTACAGATATTGAGAGACTCTGCTGTGGTCAGCCTCCAGACCGCTGCATTAGTAATCTACCACACATGGACTTCTATATCCTGGATGAGGGAGTTCTGCGTCTAGCTCGTGCTGCGTGGAATGACATCTTTGCAGTCGATGACATCCAGGAACCAGGTGAACAGCAGCGCTCATACAGACATGCAGCTTACAGCACGATCCCTTTCGCGTTTCCTCTTTTTAGCCTCCTCCGAAGGTTTAAAATTTTTCCTTGCCTCAGCCATGACCAGGAGTCGAGCAGGTGAAAAATGAGTAGCAAAAGCCTTAGCTCCATGAGTATATCAGCGCCTGTAGCCGTAAAGCAAGTGTTTCTTCCAAGTCACGTGACCTGGTGGCAGACGGTCCGTCTGCTCGAAAGTTACATGGGCGGTATTTCAAGAGGGCAGCCCCGCTCGGAGCATTGCAAGTGTCAAGCGCTGTATATTGGCCCAAGTATTCATATAAAATAACTCATATGTGTCAACTCTTT